ATATATATATATATATATATATCGCTTGAATACGAAGCTCCCTCTGTGGCCATACATTTGAAGCGAAATCGTTCCGTTTCGAGAGCCATGTGTTCTTTCTATACAACACTGAATTGGGCTAGATTTCTGGTGTATTTCATGCGGGGTGCGATTAGTTTCAGTATTACGGGCGACGTGATGTACGGTACTGAAATAATTGCCTGAGTTTACTTAAATGCCAGAGCTAGACAATCCTGGGCCAGGGGCATTACTGAAACGTAGCCCCCTCCCCCCGAAAGAAATGAAAATGTGAAATTTGTATCAAGATACTATGAGCCGTTTTATTTCACCAAATAACAAAAATTATAACATTCATGGCAGAAAACGTTTTTGGGAGTATATTTTAAATAACAGCTTGAAGTAAAAGTATTTAGTGATCAAATAATACAATTTTATCGATCAACTCTCAACATCAACTTTCAGCTGATGCTATAAATCAGGGATTAATGATTTCAAACGAAACCTACACACAAATAGTTTCGTTTGAATACCAGTAATCCCTGATATACGTCAGTTGAAAGATTTTTTTGCTCTCCTGTAAAATTTAAGCACTCATGACCTATCAGCTTATTCACCGGGGTCAGACACTGGTAAAGGAAAAGTGGATAAATCTTATTCATATATGTAATAAACTACTTCCTCTTATACGTTCAGTATCTGTCAGAATCCACGTTCATGATACCGAAAAATTTGATTACGCCAAAACATCTATCTTCCGCCTGAGAACAACGCTAACGGCTAAACTGTACACACGATTGTCACCAAAACTAATAATCCTCAATCCATTGACAGATACCGCGTCTCCTAGTTTTAAAACGGATATTTTGATACTTGGAGTTATGTGACTTTACAAGAAGCCTCAAATATTTTCAAACTTTGCGCAAAAATGGACCCACATTTTTTCTTTACATGTATTCCTCTGATAGAGACAAGGACGCTTAAAGAAATGGCGTAGATCACATTTTCATTGAACTTTGAATTTTCGAAAATAGCAAATGTTCACAGTTTTTCGGCGACTTCCTACAACTACAATTTTGAAGATAGACATTTTTTTCTTTAATGAATTCGTTCACCGAAGACATCTTTAAATAAGGTGATGTGCAATTTTTCGAAAATAGTACTTAGCGTAATAGGCAATTGTGAAACAATATTCAACAACATTTTCTCAAAAACGTCTCCAATTTTCCCCATTCGTAAATAGCCAAGAAGGGTAAAGAAAGCGGTGCTGATCCCATTGTGTACACCCTGTAAATTCAAAAATTCAATATATTCAAACAACAAAAAATTAACATAGGAAATGTGCAATAGTGATAAAAGAGATTTTTTGTTAAATGAAATCTGTGTCATAAATATTTTCCTTTAAAACGATCACGTACTGTTTTTTTAAACGTAGAGTTTAGGGTAATTTTTATTTTCGAAATTGTAAATCTGAATTTCCTGCGCTTTTTAAAAAAAACTGTAACGAAGTACTATGTACACAATACAGGACATTTTGAACCTTTCTCGTACTATTAATGATAGACAACTGCTCACTAGCGAACCTACCGACGTGACCTGGAAAATCGGTGACAAATTTAAATTTCTGTACACGAACAAACCTTTTTGGAGTACTGTGGTTTTTAATAAACCTAATATTTACATTATTATTACCGTCGTTATTTATTTTCTTTTATATTTATACGAAGGTCGGTCAGAAAGTAGTGCCCCACATTTTCTCTCTCAAGAAATATTTATTCGAAGAACCTGAAACTTGCACGCAATATTGTTCTTCTACTTGCTATATTTTCCCTATCATTTCCATCGACTTCTACAGCCTTGCGCCAGCGTGAAACAAGGGCGAGCATGCAATGCCGGCAATGCGGTAATGCAAAGTATTTTCCGATGTAGCCATATGTGGATCACCCGGCCAAAACCCCAAAACGAAATAACATGTGCACCCTTTACACGTCGCTCTATTGAATGAACATCTTCACTCCTTAAGAAAATGTAAACTTAAACAATGTAGCCCTCCTGGTTCTTGTGTGGGGTATCTATAAAATTGAGCTCAGTCTGCCGGACGTTTCCTAGCGAGTGTCTGTCTTTTGGACAGCAAAATTTGAGCGGTCAGAGCATCAACATACGAAAAGTCAGGGGCAGATTCTTGGTAAATGTATTCATGTAAGCGAGTACTTTTATGTGTTAATTTGCAAATTTGCTACAAAAATTCCCTTAATGATAGA